GAACGCTCTTATGCTTCTAGTTCGTTAAGGCTCTTAACGCCTCTAGCCACTATCTCCACAGCCTTTTAATAAAGGAATTTCTCCTAATAACGAACTCTCTAAAGACGAGCTATAGTGCGCTCTAAATCTTCCTTAGTGGAGGCACACTCTTTATTAAGACGATCCTTCTCCTAAAGGACTCGTGCGTAAGCATTAGAAGAGGTACCACCTAGGTTATAGTTAGAATAACCCTATAGGGTGTACTTACTATAGTAATCCTTTCCTTTAGTAATAATACACTCACGACTAAGCTAATAGTAAGAATTATAAGATAGTATAATAAAACTAAAGGCAGTAATAAATTTAGAAAGACACTTATGATTAACCTTTTAATTTAGACGAGACTACTATTTAGAAATACAGTTAGAAGGTATACTAAGGGACGAAGGATATAAGAAGGAAAACTCACGGAGGGGACCTCTAAAGCCGGGATAAGACTTAAGGAGGAGGGGAATAATGTAACAAACGAATAGGAAGACGGAAGGAGCGGCCTGTTATACAGCCGTAGGGAAGCCTATAACACCTAAGGGAGCTATAAGGCTCCCTAGGGTATGAAGGTATAAGGACATGAGATTACGTGATTAGATTAGGAGGGATTAAACTAATCTAAGTGGACTCATTAGACGGGCTTAGTCTAATCTTAGCCTAAGTGAGGATTAGATAGGAGATTAGTATAATCTAAGAGTATAGTAGAGGATAGATGGATATATAAGGAAGGGGATTTCTTAGATAGACAGTTAGATCTCTACTGATTAATCTAAGCAATAGCTCTACTATTAGGAGACATCTCCTAATGTGACTTACGATAACTGCTCGTGTGCACTTATGCACTTAAACTGACTCTCTACCTAAGAAACAGACTAACTGTGGATTAGGGTTAAGCCACTATTATACTAAAGTAGCGCCTATTATTAGTAATATAAGTATTATATATAGTGTTACTATAGAAAGTAGCTAGGGTAATAGTTATCCTAGTTATTATTTAATTAGTCTATAGTTATTATAAATTATATTATTACTTAAACTACTTTTATATTTAGCTTCTATTTTAGTCTATCTAATAGAGACTTCCTACTAAGATAGAATAAAAGTGTAATAGTAGCTTAATCCTAATCTATAGTTAGTCTACTTCTTAAGTAGAGAGTTAGTTTAAATATATAGAGTATATATAAATAGTTATTATAATATAAGTTATATTTAGAAGATATCTCCTAATAGTAGAGTTATTACTTAGATTAATTAGTAGAGATCTAGACTACCTAGCTATAGGGATACCTCCTCCTTAAGTACCTATCTATCTCTTTATTATAACTCTAGATAGTTAGATTATTTATCTATCTATTAACTAATCTAATTATAGTAATTAATAAGTAATCTATTAATTACTTTATAGATTATATAACATTATATCCTATTCTAGATACTAGTGTGTCTAACTTAGTCTAACCTACTTAGCCCCACCTATATATTCTATATATTTATAATATTTATAAGTCTCTATATATATAAGCTTAGTTTTAGAATTATTAAGCTTATAAGTACTATTAAGTACTTTCGTTAGTATAAAAAAACACTTATCTTTATAAAAGCCTTCTTTAAAATAGTACTTATATATATAATAATAGTATAAATAGTTATATCTATATATAAGTCCCTACTAGTAGCTATAACTATATATATTAATATTATTTTATCTTTAATTATATCTAGAATAGTGCTTATAGTAAATACTATAGTTTAAAA